AACGGTTTTTAACATGAATAATGTTTGAAGGTTTTCTCCTGTTGGGGGGGGGCCCTGACGAATCTTCACAGTGATTCCTTACATGCCTGATGATGGGTTTACGTCTGTGTTATGTCATGTGTTATGTTACGTCATGTCACTGAATCTAAACTGCTTTCTGAAATTACATTCTCATGCTACAGCAGTATGTACAAACACAGAGACACAAAGTGCATACATAAATAAATATTTGCTGAACCTATTAACTTCCTCCTACTCTGTAACATGGTTTGGATATGAAGGTGATATGTGGTTCTGCAGGTTAGGACTCTGTGCCCAAAATTGGAAGGTTGCTGATTCGAATCCCTAGACTGGAATAGTGATGTAACCATTGGGCCCATGGGCAAAGCCCTGAACCAAGAACTCCCACCAGGAACGACTGATTCTGCTTTCAGTTGTACGTTGCTTTAGATAAGTGTGTTGGCGTGGAATGTGATTGGTTGCTTGGTGCTGGCATAGGATTTGATTTGTTCATTGGTGTTTAAATACCAGTAGACAAAAACTTCCAGTCATTAGCAGTAGCATAATCTCTAGGCTGTTTGAGGGAACATTTTTGCTGTTTTGGGATATGCGTGGAAAGACAGTCACCACACACCTCACGCCACACCAGCACTTTCAAAACCTCAGACAGACCCTAGAAAAACAGGAGGAAAGAATACTGTAGTTTGCTTTTTTTCTTAAAATAGGATCCATTTACAGGGCAGTAGGCAGGGGGTCCCCTACCCAAGGTGTCAGGGGACATACACTCACTCACACACTATGGGTAAATTAGAGACACCAGTTCATCTGAAATGCAAGGACTATGGAATCCTAACAGAGGTGCGGTCCGGGTGGGATCTGAGCCCATAATCCTGGTATCTGGGGGCTACAGTACCGCCCACTGGGCTGGCCTAAATTCCCATTGTCTAAAGCTTTACATTTGTTAATTTAGCTCTATTGGGGGGTGGTGTTTGGTTAAGCAGGTTAGGCCTCTGTGCCCATGATTGGAAGGTTGCTGGTTTGAATCCCATGCTTGGCAGTGGTCAAATCTCCATTGGGCCCTTGAGAAAGAAGACCGTTAACCCACTGAATCATGCACTAGGGGGGCTGGATGGGCGGGTCTCTCTGTGCTCAGACTCCAAGCTTCACTCTCACCTCTAAGTATGTATTGATTGTTGTGTGTCTTTAAAAGAAAAAGAAAAGCAAAGAACTATATGTGCGCTACAGTGTGTCTGTACTTCTGCAAATGGATATTCGCTTCATTTCAAAGGGGTGTGTGTGTGTGCCTGTGTTTGTGTGTGTTTGAGCACATTGTTGGATGTTGAGGTCTGTGGAAAGGAGGCCACAGCATTCAGCGGGTCGGTGGCGGTTTGGACGGCAAGTCAAGCTGAGCTGAATAACATGATTGATGATTCGGGTCCTTTAATTAGACACGGCGGCTTTGTCCGGCTTGAAAGACAGAGCGGAGGCCGCCGCTGCTCCTGAGTAATGAGGTCGAAGCTGGGAGGAGGTGCCAGGGCTTCGGGACCCGCTCATGGTCAGGCTGGCGGGGGTCACGCACTCACACACGCATGGCGCTCAGCTTAATGGCTGGTTTTATAGAGAACGAGCTGGGACAATGGGACTGGACCAGTGAAGGATTTTTGCGTTGCGAACGAGCCACGATGCACGACTGAGCCGCTCATCAGTCTGTTAGAGGGTTATTTCACACGGTGTGTTTTCTCACAAAGTGCTTTACGCCGATTTTGCTGTAATTTTTCCACAGAGCACTTAAATGAGAAATGGGGGGGGGGGGGGGTATGTGAATGTGGAAAAAGGGAGATCTGTTCCCAGACCTTTCAGAGATGGTGATCCAGTATAAAATAATATCTGTAGAACTATGGAAGACAGAGTTTTAAGTGACTGAGGTTTTATTATGATTTGTGTGTCGGTATCTGAGCCAGGGGCTGAAATGTCTCCGGGGTATGTGTGGACGATTTGGACTCTTGGTCGTATTGTAGATAGTTCTCATTTGGGGGACACTAGGTCAGACCGGACTTGGGTTCTTGTTGGCTGGTTCTGGTTCCCTCCAGCTGTGTCTGTTTTCTGCAGCGTGGCGTTTTGTCAGACGTAGACGGGGGGCCCTTAAATGCAAGCGGACTGTTGGCTCTGCCCCAAGGCCTCCAAGTGTGTCTTCGGGGGAAAATAATTCGGGAATCTCTGCCTGTTTGTCCCAGTTTTCAGACTGAAAGAGTCTTCTCATCAGGGAAGGGGGGGGGGGCAGTGACTCAACCCCCCCCCCCCTAATACTGAAGTCTTCAATACAAAGCGGATGTTCAGAGGTTGCATGAAATGCACATTCCCCACCTGAGAAGTGTGTTGTATCACCTTGAAGCTCATTTTACTCCCTCCGTTATGAACACATCCTAAGTTCTCTCACTATTTTAAATGAAACATAAAACAAAACC